GTAGGTAAAGCTTTGCAGAAGATAATATTTTCAGATCCCCCAAGAAAGCAATGTGCAAAACATATAGAGGTCATTATTAATAAACAACTTTCCTACTGCAACATTTTTGTTTTGTTTTTGCATGCTATTCTTTGTTTTGATCCTTTGAACAAATGAAAAGGTAAAACTCTCCCAATTTTTTTCCAGACAAGTAATGATGCTCATAGGAATCTATTAAATATACTGAATATATAAATACATACACTTCAAGAAAATGTAAAATGCACATAATAAAGTCTCACAAACCACAGAATGATAATTCTTGAAAGAAACATAATCATAAATAGTCCATAAGCACAAGCCCTCCAAGGGGCAGTAACAGTCCATAGAAAAAATACTGTCCAGTATACCCCGACGGTATTGTACATGATATTCAGACCATTTAGAAGAAAATCAAGGTAGGTAAAATGACCATGCACAAATCAAAATTCTATTATGTCTTAAGTGGAGTCCAAAGCCTCTTAACAAATTCACAGCCCAATGGTATCAAATCTAGCAGGCAAAAAGACTCTTCCCAATACTGTTGGGGATACACTGGACAGTATTTTTTTCTATGGACTGTTACTGCCCCTTGGAGGGCTTGTGTTTGTGGACTATTTAGGATTGTGTTTCAAGAATTATCATTCTGTGGTTTGTAAGACTTTTATGATGTGCATTACATTTTCTTGAAGTGTTGTATGTGTGTATATATTCAGTATATTTAATAGATTTCTATTGAGCATCATTACTTGTCTTTGAAAAAGAATTGGGAGAGTTTTACCTTTTCATTTCTAGATTTATACTTTCCCTTCCTAGTTAGTTTTGATCCTTTGAACTTCCACATTAAGTTCTTGAACCGAGTCTAACAATGTGTGGCGCAATTTCACAAAGCCAAAAAACTTTCATGGTCTTAAATGTGCATTGTAGCTATCCATGAATTTGTTTTTAATTAGTTTATTTAACTGTTGGAATGTTTCAAAATGATGTTTTTACCATTGTTGTTCATTGCTCAGAGCCCTGCGTATTTGGGGATTAAGCAATTTAGAAATCTAATCTATGAATAATATAAACACCTAAGAGAATGAATCTGTTCTTACCTTTGTTTTTACTGGTATTCCGCTTTGTTTTTTCATCAAGTGGAAGTACATTCACAGTAGCGGAAAACAAAGGCATGCATACATTCATGTATTTGTCCTGAAGTGCAGACAGGCTACTGAAATACTGTAATGAGAAACACTTCTTCAACTAGCTGTTTTGATCTTTCGATAAGGGAAAACATTTGAGTTTTTAACTAAAGCTGTGCACTTTCTCCCCTCTTGTCTCACACTTGGCAGACTTCAGTCTTGTAGAGTTCAAGCATAAAAACAGACTTTAGATTCACCCCAAAGATATAAGTATTCTCCCACTAATTTCAAAGTTGCTTTCATTAACAAAAAATGTAACAGAGCTCTCCAAAATGGAGAAGATATATAATGGGAGGAAACACCATAAATATAAGACTCATATACAATAATATAAATATAACTTTAATTTCTAACAAATTGTTATAGTACATAAGCAGTAATCAAGCCACAAACAGAGAACTATCAATATGTCATACCAAAGAGAACATCACATCTCATTTAAAAAATCTGGTGGAAAAAACACCAACATGTTCCCTGTTTGAGCAAGTACTGTGCTTCTTGAACAAGGATTGACTTCTATGGGTAGAAAATTCAATAGGTAAGTGCCTAATACTAATCCTCTCAATGGAACATGGAATACCTGTAAAGGGAAAAAATAGATTTTGTTCTGTCTTCGGTAACATGAAGCAAGTTGAAAATCACAAAAATAACCACCCCTCAATAACTGTGTGGCTCGGTTAACATCTGAAGAGTACCTTTCAGAATTGTTCCATCTCACTTTTTTGCCGGTGTAGCTGGCATAATCATGGGTTGTGAAATTTCAAAAGTCTGCACAATATTCTGATGAGGAAAAAAAGGTTTGGCTTCAAAATGTTAACTGAATTTAAAATCCATGCCAACAACAAAGAGAATTGAGCATTTTGCCTTTCTTCCTACTTCAGCTACCCGCATTAGAACTTCAAACACAGGATCCCCACCTCCCCCAACATGCAGCTCAAATTAAGAAATTCAATATGACCCGACCACCTGTTTATCTACTCATTAAAATATTATTCAGGGTAAGGGGGAGTATAATGCAAACAGTGGAATTTATGCCAATTTTGATCAGTAAGATATGGAATTATGTTCTCTGCAAGTAACTGTTACCATTTTATCGCACAGGTTTAAAACGGAAAGGAGCAGAATCAAGAAAAAAAACAGAAACAAATCTCTGAAATTTTATTATAAGGAGGACAGGAAATTGCCCAGACCCATTTTGCAAAGACCTGTGTCATGTGTATGTCAGAATCTCCATTTAATACACTTGAGGTGCTTTAGAACCGCAATTTCAAACCAGTTTAAAAGCAGCAATAAATAAGATTCTTATAAAAACTCCAAAGTAAAATAATCATTTTTCAGATAAGTATCTGAGGCAGTAGACTGTGGTCCACAAAATTTACAATAGAATAAAAGTCAGTATAAAGTACTAAAAGATTCCCACTTATTTTTACAGCCATAGGATAAAAAATTCCTATTAGGACAGAAACGAATACACCAACATATGAAGCTGCTTTATACTCAATTAGACCATTGTCCATCAAAGTCAGTACTGTTTAGGCAGACTGCAAGTAGCTCTCCAGGATCTCAGGAAGAGATCTTTCACATCTACCACCTGTATCTTTTAGCTGGAGATGCCGGATATAGAACCTGGAACCGTCTGCATGACAAGTACATACTCTTCCACCAAGTCACAACGACCCTCCCCGTAAATACATACTTAATGGAAAAAAGATGTTCCGGGCTACAGAAAAGAGAACCAGAACAAGTTATACCAACCAACACATCAATAAAATACTTGGTGTCTAAATCACGACTGGAGATCATTCCAGTCAGAGTACCACCAATGAAAAGGCTCCGTCTTGAATATGACTTCTGAAGGCGGGAACATCTGAAACAGTCACTGATGCGTATCTTAACTGTACAATTAGTACTGCCAGAATAGTGCAGAACCTACATCACTGTCTCTTGGGAACACTTCAGTTAGTTTAAGGGAAAGGAAGACCATTCTCACTATACCTGCCATTCTTGAAAGCTCATTGACATGACTGCTTGCTTCCGTGCCTGGGTATCCTGATTGTTTTCTCCTTCCTCTGGGTATAAAGGTTCTATCAAAGCATCACATTTTAAGAAAACTTGTTACTTTTTCAGAAACAGAAAAGTTAGCACTTAAGACACATATATGCATAAGTGTCCTGTAAGTTTTATCATGTCTTATGGCAATCAAGTATTCGCTTTTCTAAAAGTAATCTTAAAATGTACCTATTATAGGAAGCCTGTCATCATCAAGCTTGATTGTTGCAAGGCCATCCTGGAATAAACACATTTCAGTTATTAAGCCAGCAAAAACTACCCAAGCATACTTAAATGATGTACAAGAATCTGAGATTTGGCAATGTTTAAATGGAATAAAACAATGTTTCTGTTTCACAGATTCTTAGGGCTTAAGATAATGAAATTTAAAATGTTGGCTGTGTAAGCAAATTTTCTTTAAACCAGGAGAATAAAACCAGACCACATTCCCTATTATTTCCAAGCTTTAATTTCAAAGTCGTCTACATGAGAGGCAAGAGGTAGAATTAGACAGCTGATTTAGGCTTATACATAGAAGATTTATGAACCAGTACTGTCTTCCTTCCTCTCCCCCCACCTCACTATAATCAATCCAAGTAAAAGTGAAACTGGATACCGTCCTACGTTTTCTTTTGGAACCCTGCTTAGAGACAGGGTTTCAAAGCATGTTTCAAAAACAGCAAGTTTAGACATTTGTTTTATTTCCTTATAACCCAACTAACTCAAAAACAATGCAGAAGAGGATGGGAGATGTTAATTAGAACAGAAGGCCCAGAAAATCCCATGGTCTGGTTTTTTATCCTGGTTTCAGTTTTAAAATCTACATCAGACCAAAATGATATATAAGGTTTATCAGCAACACAGAGGTACGGGGCTCCAAAGCTGTGACTTTATGCATAGAAACATACATATTAATTTTACTCATCAAGAGAATTAATTAATTAGGCATCCTCAAGGTTATAAAAAGCAAGTCTTGTGCTTCTTGACAACTTTGCTTCAGAGAAAGTTAAAGCTGGCAATGCAAATGAATGCATTTTGTTTTTTAAATGACAAATAACAACTGCAAACCATTCACACTTACCCTTATTAGGAAGGATACATGAAACATGTTTTCAATAGTACGAGCAAAAGAATCTGGATCAGTCACAAACTCAAGGAAGGATATTGGGACACCAGCTACAGAAATCAGAAAATGAGGTGTGAGAACATGGTGCTATTATTTAACCATCCTTTTGCTTTCTTTACCATTTTGTGACACACCTTAACTTCAAGAGACATTTCTTTCAAACTCATATTTGCTGCTTCCTATTACCTATTTAAATTTGGAGAATGGAGCCAATCTGATGCCCAGCAAGGGAGAGGGCGCCACAAGAAGAGTTGTCATTGCAATCCCAGGGTGATGATACAGTTGAGTGACAGCTTACATACAAAGATTTTGAAGGAAGACGGTTCAACATCAACAAAAACAGCTGGAGCCAACACAACCTGAGCTAGCATATCAGTAGGAAGCTTCAACAGCTTCCTCCCCCCCACTCTGTAGATACCGTGTTTCCCCGAAAAAAAGACACTGTCTTATATTTATTTTTTCTCAAGAAGACACACTAGCTCATACCACAAATGCATAGAAATCCTGCTAGGGCTTATTTTTGGGGTAGGTGTTATTTTCGGGGAAACAGGGTACTGAGAAGCAAATTGGAGTTGAACACACAACACTGCTGGATTCTGTAGCAATTTTACTTTGGAAAGGGGAGAGGAACAACTTTCCTCCCTCATTTACAAGACTGAAGTAATGCTCCAATTCAATTTTGCATTAGCAATGTTTACTCGTATACTTACGGTCTTGTCTGAAAAAGGATTGTAAGTATCCTAAGATCCTCTCTACTTCTTTTTCTGTGGCTTCCTGGTGAGATTCTTCCATCTTTTCCAGCTAAAGATACAGTTCAGTTAAGCCATCATTCACACAACTACATTATCCTGTAGGTGCACATTGCTCAGTTACATGGGCCACAATAAACCTTGATTAGAACTAAGCAGGCTGCGCTCCGATAATTCAACCTCAGACCCCCTCCCCACTCACAACATCACGATGTCTTGACCAAGCCAAGCCCAGAAGACATCCACTCCTCTCAACTCCGGCCAAGCCATTGCAGGCACCATGGAAGGCATGGCATCCAAGATGGCTTCACTGGAGGTGGAATAGGCTGTCTGGCTTCAAGCGTACGCCTCAAGGTATGTGTTGTGTATCCATGTTATACAGTTTGTATACAGTATTTTCCCCTAACAATATTCTTTCCTGATAGCAGGAAAAAACAATTTTGCAAACCATTACGATTATACAAAATAATGCAGCCAATGTTTAATGCAAGGCTTCAAGCTCTAAACAAAAAGTTTGATTCACTAAACCATCAAAACGTTCACGAAACCAGTCTCTTCTCCTTATTCCCTTACACTCCTCATAATCCTCTCCCAAAGTTTGGGTGATCTTCAGAACTAGAGCAGATGCAACACTGGAGAACTATAGCTCTATAAGCAGTCAAAAGAAATCACTCCCCTCAAGGTAACTTGCCAGGAAGCTCTCAATTCACATACAGCCCCATTATACAGCCCTATTTGAAGCATAATTTCCCCATGTTGCCTTAACAGGTTTTATGCATATATTACAAGCCATATTATATAACTGTTTGGCAAGCATGGAATAATACATGCATGTTAGAAGCATGTTATAAAGAATATACCATAAAAATCCTACATATAATAGCAATGTAGGACAGCTGACACTTACACCCTGCTCCATCAAAGCAGACCTGTGCATGAAAAGTCTTCTGAATTTGTACTGGGTCCTACACTTGCTAAAGGGAACTGTCACATACATTTATAGGTGCACTGAGATCAGAGCAATTTGACACTGCCATTCACAATAACAGTAGCAGAACACAATTCAATGCATTACCCCAGCCACCCCACCCACACTACCTGTTTAGGCATTGCCCTTCTTTCATCTGGCCCTGCTTTCTTCTGTTGCCTCTCAATCCGTGGCCTTTGAACAGGAGGATCAGCAGTGAAAGCTCCCAACCTAAACCAAGCAAAACAATGTGGCTCCCACGTGTAGCAATTCAAATTCCAAATCGTTTAAAGACCCAATGTAAAGTAACATTTATTATTCCTTCAAGGAGGCTTATGAAAAGTCCAGATACTTGAGCATAGGAGATTTAAAATGTATGAGCAAAGAAAACATTCATCTTATGTCAGGCCCATAGTCACAGGGGGGAAACAAGCGCAACAACCCACCAAACATTTTTTCATGCCCCATTGATCAGCAGTGCTCCCCTTTGTGCTTTCTGTCTGGGAAAGCAAGTGAGAAAATATCAGTCTGGTATTTTCTACTAGCAGCCAAGAGATACAACCAAGCATGAATGGGACAGCCAAAATGATAGCTATCCTTGCTCAGTCAGACCTCTGTCAAGGCCTGGCATGGGTGGCTTTAAAGAAAAAAAAGAGATTGGATTTATACCCTGCCCTTCACTACCCGAAGGAGTCTCAGAGTGGCTTACAATCCTTTTCCCTTCCCTTCCCCACAACAGACACCCTGTGAGGTAGGTGGGGCTGGGAGAGCTCTCTAGAGAACTGCCCTTGAGAGAACACCTCTGAAAGAACTTATGACTGACCCAAGGTCACACCAGCAGCTGCATTTGGGGGAGTGAGGAATCAAGCCCAGTTCTCCCAGATTAGAGTCCACGCTCCTAACCACTACACCAAACTGGCTCTCAATGATATTAGGCAAATTCAAGGAGAATAGATCCATCAACAGCTACTAGCCTTGATAGCTAAATGGAGCCTCCACGTTCAAGGGTAGTATACAACTGGTAGTTGCTGAACAGAAGCAATAGCAGAGACTATCTGACCTCTGCATGTGGGCCTTTGAGGCAACTGACTACCGTAACAAAACAGAAGCTGAAACAGATGGACCATTGGTCTGTTCAAGCAAATCTCCCATGTAGTTAGAAAGATCTTCTAGTCTAGGGTATGACAGAAATGTCACAAGCCTGCAGTTTGTAGTACTTTCTAAAATGTAGTGTAGAAGATGTTGCAGATATAATAAGTGAAGACTGAGCTTGGTAGAATAAATATTTTTTTAAAAAAAATAGAAAATACTGCATCTGATAGCCCTGACCTGGACAGCCCAGGCTAGCCTGATCCCATCAGAACTTGGAAGCCAGCAGGGTCGGCCTTGGCTAGTATCTGGAAAGGCAACCTCCAAGGAATATCAGGGTCATGACGCAGAGGCAAGCAATGGCAAAACCTACTCTGAAACGTCTCTTGCCTTAAAATCAAGTCTAGCTCACCACCTAGTGGTACATGACGCTAAAAGAGCTAGAAATTCTGGCTGCCAGGCAATCTTAGGATCTCCTGGCTATTCTATACACAATGCAATTCAATAATTAATTAATTACCACATCTGATGCCTGCTCCAACCTTGTAGAACTGTGTGTTTTCAGTGGGGGAGAAGGAAAGGTTCTTTGCATATGCTCAGAGGTACTATTTTGCTAATTCCTTTAATAATACTACGTGCTTGTACTACAAACCAGCTTGCAACTGTCCTAAACCAGACCTGCGATATAATGGACTGCCCTCCACTCTTCTCATCTGCCCACCCAATGGAAAATGCCTGGCTACAAACCTGAGTTCTATCCAGTCTCTTACATGACTGGCTGCTAAAATCAGGTTTGTACCATATTTATTCGAAAGGAAGACAACCCCTTTAAAAATCTTATAAACAAAGAAAAAATAGTGTATATTATTGTAACTTGTATGCAAATGTAAGATGACCTCTTTTTTTGGGGGGGGGTGGCATACTTGGGGGGAAAACCAGCTTTGCATTTTAGTAAATATTGTAATTAGCTATTACCTGATCACCAGGGGAGTTAAAACTGTGCCCATATATATGGGGAAAAACACATTCAGATGCTCTGTTATTTACAATTTAAGGACTGCTTGCCTAGCTCCGCTTCTTTCTCCTACAATGGCTCTCATTTTTGTTTCTATTTTTTTTTGTGAGTATTTTTGTGTATATATGTGTGCATGCCTGGAAGTCATGGTTGCCTTCTGGCGACCCCTAGTGGGGCTTGGACGTTTCAGAGAGGTGGCTTGCTATTGCCTGCCTCTGTGTCCCAGCCCTGGTAATCCTTGGCGGTCTTCCATCCAAGTACTTGCCAGGGTCGGTCCTGCTCAGCTCCTGAGCTCTGACAAGTTTGGGCTTGCTTGGGCTATGCAGGTCAGGGCCTTGTTTCTATTATTAAAGCACTACTAGGATAAGAGTGTGGCTGGAGGGCACATGACACAACAATATTAGCAAAGTCAAGTAATAGTAGTAAACCAAAATACTAGGGACGCACGAGATTCTCCTTCTACCACCCCATTCACTGTTTTCACTCCCTTCTCCCACTCATACTGGCAGATGCTACTCACGATGCTAAAGACAATCTCAAAAGGTCTCTGGCCAGCCTTCTCTGCTTTTGCAGAGAGGAGTGTGAAAGGAAAGGCAGGGAAGAACAAGAGATGGAGAACCCTATTTCCCTAGCCTTCCAGGGTGTGTCTGGCTACCACTTGTCCATGAAACTATAGCCGCCGCCACCTGTCACATCTGAGGCAGTATCTGACAGGCCTACTTCTGCCTCTCTCTGTCACCCACACATATCCCACATGCAGCCTGCCTCACTCAAGAGCTGCCCCAGTCATAACAGAATCCTTGTTCTCTTAAACAAACAAAAACAACCCCTTAATTTTAATTGGGGGAAACACAATAAGAAGGGAAGATCCAATTACTTTCAGGGGACAAATGAAGTGAACAAAGGGATTTCATACGCACAGGAAAATACAAAACACATAAAACACAACCTAAATACACTGGTTCCCTAGCTTACTGGCTTACAGGTCTTGAGCCATGTCAGCCTGACATGGGCCTATATGGCAAGGGCCCTCATCTTCCCCTTCTCACTCCAGGGAAAGCAAATGTAATCCTCATTTCAAGGTTTTATCATTTTTCTGTGATCACACCCCCTCACATGGTTGTGTTCTCTTTGCAATCCAGGTGATAGTAAACCAATCAAGTGATTCCCCTGGGGCAAAAAAAAATTTCTTTTTGTGGGGCTTTATTCCCGGCTCCTGCTAGTAAGTTTAATTAACAGAGGGAATGATGGGGACCAGGTTGGGACTCAAAACAACCCCTGGTATATTTTTAATGCTGGGGGGGGGGGTGTTCAGGGTACCTGGCCTTCTCAATAAGCTTATTTTATTTGCACTCTGGAGCCAGGTTCAGCATTAGACATTAATTGACCCAGTTGTGTGTTGGAGACATGCTATTTTGCCAGTATTTGAAAGAAGTCTCACACTTACATGAAGTGGAAAGTAGGTGCTCTTCTAAAGTACTTTTTTGCTTCTTCACCAAGTGTATGCCAAGCATTGCTAGGCAAATATCCACTGGCAAGCTGCTCATTGTCACTATCACTTTCACCTCCATCTAGACGATTTAAACCCATAAATGATAACTGTAGAGGAAATATACTGGTATCAGTTTCCATTTGTCACCATGAAATGAAATGAAGTCTACTCCTAGAAAGCAGGTGTGTGAAAGGACTATCAGGCTTACTATCGACTTCCTGAAGATGTTTTCCATACTCCACCAAACAGAGCTAAAAACAGATACAAACAAATCTAACTTAATTTTAATTCATCATTTCATGCTTCATTTCAGGAGGAACTCATGGTCAGTCCCACAAAGGTTTTGGGCATCCCAAAGTGTACCTGACATAATTTTAAACTGAATTACTTAAATTTTCAGCATAGTTCCAGCTTTCACATGCTGTTATCTTACCCTACATTCTTTAAAGCACACATATCATCCAGAATTAAGTGTCTAATAGGCACAACACATTTCTTTTCCTTTTTAGATTTTTTAGCCCAAGAATTATACGTCTCAAGGCCTCACAGTATGGTACCTATTTTATTTGGACCTCCTGGACCAGGCAGTGGTACCAGGTAACTGATGGTGTAGCACCACTGCAAAAGTTACAGGTTAGACTGCTAACCCTGCAATAGGAAGATCTGTCTGATTTACCAATATCGTTTCCATATATTGCACAAACAGTTTCTTATTCTTATACAAGTCAAGTCACTATACTGTTCCTGCATGATCACATTTGTAGTGTAGCCTAACTGATCAGCATCAGCAGTCAGATTCTACACAAGTGCAAAGTTTGAGTCCAGTGGCACCTTTAAGACCAACAAAGTTTAATTCTGGGTATAAACTTTCATATGCCCAGATCTAAACTTTGTTGGTTTTAAAGGTGCTACTGAAGTCAAACTTTGCTCTGTTGCTTCAGACTGACATGACTACCCACTTGAATCTGTGTAGAAGTGCAGTAAACAATACAAGTGCAGTAAACAATGGAATGAATGTGTTACTGGGCACAGAACTTAGGGTTCCTAAGAACCACCGCTTTTCACTTAAAATCACAAACAGCTTCTAAGTCATGTAGCTGTAAGATAAGCTTGAAAATATGATACATATACTTGGTGATCTTGTATAGTCAGCTCTCATCTGGGGCCTTAGAAACATTTCAGTGCCCTACATACTTACTGGCCTTATTCATAATTAGCCAAAGAAGACAAAACATACATTGTTTATACAGAATACGGGATTCAACTTTTCACAATTCAGAATTTTGATGTGTGTGTGTGTGTGTGGGCTTCTGGATTTTTTAAAAAGCAGACTTGTTAACACTGCTGACTTAATCTTGCAACAATAAAGTTGTTCTCTCCTTTACATTTTAAAGCTTTGGTCATGAAGGGTTTGCCCAAGGTGAACAAAAAAGGCAGAGCAAGAATTCTGCTATGCTATAGGATGCTGAAGAGGAAAAGTGTTTTGTAAAAGAAGCTCCTGTTGAAGAACTCTCAAGCACAACAATCTTATATTAACAAATAACTAATGACTGCAAACTTACTAGATCTTCAGCAAAAGCAGATGGATCAAATACAGTCATGTCTGATTGCAACTGGCTTGCTTTTTCCTTTCCCAGAGTTGATGCCAAAACTAGGAATTGCGCATCCAGAGCAGCCTCCCTGGCCCGGGACACTGTTAAGAAAGAAGAAGAATATTTTGCTACTATCAAAAGCTATTTAAAATCAAGTATTTCATTACCACCACTTCCTAGAGTGCTTGGTGCTTGTCCTGAAGCAGAGACTCCAAACATTAAATGAAATCAGAACTGTAAATTCCACTTGCTTGTGTACCCATCCAGTACAGCTTTGCCTTTTATAAGTTTCTCAGGAAATCATACTACCAGCAATTTCTGTTTTGGCTATTTTTGCGCAATGATACAAATAGAATAAATCAGACTATTTAAATACCAGTGGCAAGTTACTACAGTGTGCAAATAACCTTAATGTTAATATTAATTTTATCTTTAATGCAACTACTCTGGTTGCGTGGGTCCTTGGTGAAATTTTCTATATGTCCTCCTTGCAACATGAAATACCCAGACAATGCTAAATCTAAGTCACAGGACTGGAATAAACCACTCTGACATCTTCAGCACCCCTCTCCCATTTGTTAACAAATGATGCTTCCTCCCTAGCCAATCCAGTCCAGTGGACAATGGCCCTCAGTAAGAATGTCCCCAGAGAGAGTATATTTCATTAAATTGTAATTGATTTAGGAACTCTAAAGTGACTGAGTTGTTTTGGGCAAGCTCTGTGTGGATGTGCCCAGAACTCACACAGTGATTACAGTGCCTTACTAGCAGCTAGACCACCCCAGTTCCTGGAAGAAAGGCATACATATGTGATAAAGAGATACAAAGATTGGGGGGGGGGGCAGAGCATTTCAGGTGCATCTGTGCTTTGAGATACAGAAATAACAGGGTTACTTGAATGATATCTGTGGGGGGAATTTTGTAAGCTGTAAAAATTACTTATAACTGGACCCAGTTCAATATATTCAATAACTGTGTTCACATAGCCATGTGTGATAAAACATAACTTTTCTGTGTTTTTATTCCAAACACACTTTCAGTAAAGACAACAATAATGTGAACATCTAACCAGTTTCACATTACCTGCAACGAACAGTTTGTTGGCTTCTTCTAGACTTTCAGTCAGTTTATCATTTCTGGTACTCAGCATCATCTCACGATTCTCTACAATAAAAATATATACCTTGAAAGAAAAAGTCAACAGAGCAAGATCTAGTTCAAAAGTAGTTGATAATCATATATCACACATCTGAACTACAGATAGCTCAAATTCCAGAAATTAGGAGGGAGCGGTGGAGGGAACGATGCAATAACTACTCAGAATAATGAATTACAAATGTGATACATTGGGAAAATACCTCAATCTACAGGTAAATCATCAGAAAACATTATTTGTACTGGCTATGTGTCCACATAGATAGGGGATGCATGTAAAGCTAGAAGGCAGTTCTCAGCTAGTGTTGTTCCCTTTTAGCTACCCTCCACGGCAATAAAACTGAATGTAAGTTTTAAAAAGTTCAAATGTCACCATTCTATTTACAAACAACGCTACTGTAGCATGTAAATAAGAAAAACTAACCATCATAAACTAAAAATGGAAGGTATTAAGGAAATCTGCCCCTTAAAATGATGATTAACTAATGCTATATGGTTTTGCAGCACATTTCCTTTTGTGGTGGGTAATAGTTCACGGCCTTGTGGCAAGCTGCATGAAAAAGCAAATAGCCAGCAACTAGCATAGAGGCTGTACAGCCACATACATCCCTCAGTGCCTCCCTCTGCCCCCACAACCAACTTACCTAACTATTTTAAAGCATTAATTGTTTAAAGTTATTTTTAATATAAGCCACCTTGAGAACTATTGCTGTTGAGAAGCAGTCTTTAAACATAAACGTTTATTTTATCTGCTCATCAGATAGCAGAATGAAGAAACATTGAACCACCACCACCAAAAAAAGGATTTAAGGGCCCCGGTCACATGGGCCGGATATCGCGGGAGGGAGGCGTGGCTGTTTGCCCTGGAGCGAACTACTGCACGGCCGCCAGATCAAACGTCCTACCGATGTCCCATGGTTCAGGGGGAGGTGCTGATCATACGTCAATCCTGCAGCATGGCAAAGAAGCGGCGCAGGGCGGGGGTTGTTGTTGTTGTTTTTAACCGAAGTGTGTACATGCGCTGTTGGGTGCTTGTGCGCATCCCGTGGAGACTTGGGGGGGAAAACACGTTCTCTCCACAGGCGCCGGATGCCACGAGCTACCACCGGAAAAGTGATCAGACGCCCGCCCTTGCCCCGTGGTTTCCGGAAACTAGTACTTCAGAGGTACTAGTTTTTACGGCGCATCTTTGGCGGGAAGCCTCGGGTTAGCCACGGGAGCTCTACGCTTCAGATGTTGTGGTGTGATCGCCCGTCCGCCTATCTTCCGTCTCTGTAGCGTGGCTAATGCTCCGTGTGACTGCAGCCTCCTTGGCTTTTGGATTTCTTCACTGTATTTCTGTACTCGGAGAGACTGTACTTGGAGAGACCACAAAAAAACAGCAAGCTGAACTTTCTAAATACCCCGTTCCATGGAACAAATGCATCAGTACCTCCGCATTTCATTTCTGATGCCCGTGATTCTGAATTCAGACATGTGACACGAACAACAAGAAGAAAGAAATGCAGGAAGGTTAATTATCTTTGAGAGGGGGGAAAACCCTTCTCTGAATAACGAGTCTTTTGACTTCGGCTTGTGTGCAAGAAACAGGGACAGACTCCCGAAGCTCAGCATCTCCGAAGAAGCCTCCCGTTACCTTCCTTCTCAAAGCGTTTAACTTTCACTCTCCGCGTCCCACCTAAGCGCCATTCCCTCCTCCCGCGTTCCAGGAAGGCACTCACGCTGAACATCCGCGATCAGCTCCCGGTACTGCTGCCGGAGCAGCCGCCGGGTGGTCTCGTCTCCGCTGGCCTCGTCCATAGTCCCGCTATGAAACTTCTCCTAAGCTTCTCTTCCTTCCCGCGCCGGCGAACCACACAGGCAGGGGCGGAATCTGCCGACAATATGAAACCAACAGCAACACCTCTCGCGAGTGTTGAGGGGAATAAGGACGGCTCCACGGCAGGCCCAAATTCGAACGCGAAGTTGTTGGACGGTGGCGTCAGTAGTTTTTTTTCTCCCCCCTCCCGGAAAGAAGAAAGACCTTAGCATCTCTTTCTTGTACCTGGGATGCTGTTTTCTGAAATGAAACGGGGTGGGTTTGCGGGCAGGTTTTTTCTTTTTTAAATCTCCGACAGTGTTTGGTCTAGAAATATAATAGGTGAAGGTATTTTTGTGGGGTGGGAAAAAACAACAACACGCACAAAGCAAGCGAAACTGAAGTGCTTGCAGGGATCGTTTTTAAAACTGCGTACAATATTTCCTTCAGTTTTCTCTGCTTGCATTTCAAAGCACAGTTTGACTAGTCTGTGGCATTCTTAACCACAGTAAACAGTAATACAAGTACTAGATCAATACACAATATAGACTACATGGAGCAGAGCGCTGCACAAGAATATAACATAATACACCTCTTTAGAAGATTAACAAGAAAGCAGTTAGTCCAACTCTGCTTCTCAGCCCCTGTTATCAGCCAGAGCACTGAAGTACTTTCTACTACTTAACAGTAAACACTGTTTACATATCTAATTCCCAAGAGTGCCCACTATCTGTGGATAACCAAATCCACAGATAGGAGGCACACCCCAAACAGGTGTTTCTATAAACTTGAGTGACCCCTCTAGATTTCCAGAAAAATCTCAAAAGTTAAAAAAAAACACGTAGGGGCCCCCCTTAAATTCCCTCCAAAATAGAAAGCATTGACTGCATGTGTAGGCAATGCACTTACTGAGGAGCAGCTGGAGAGGGGCCCAGTGGTTGGGGGGGGGCAACTGAGCTTCAGAGCTGCTGGTGGGGGGGAAGGGGAAGCCTCAGCTGGCCTGCCTGGAGCAGCTCCCCATGAGCCACTGAGAGCAGAGGGGGAAGAAGAAAGCTTTGGTGGGCCAACATGAAGCAGCTCTGAGCTGCTGAGAATGGCAGTAAGAGGGAGGAGACAGGCCCAAAGAGTGATTAACACATGGAATTCACTGCCACAGGAAGTAGTGGCGGCTACAAGCATGGATGGCTTCAAAAGGGAATTAGATAAGCATATGGAGCAGAGGTCCATCAGTGGCTATTAGCCACAAGGTATAGATAGGGGCTCTGGGGCAAGTGATGCTCTGTCTTCTTGGTGCTTGGGGGGGGGGGTCAACAGTGGGAGGGCTTCTAATGTCCTGGCCCCACTGGTGGACCTCCTGATGGCACTGGTATTTCTGGCCACTGTGAGACACAGAGTGTTGGACTGGATGGGCCTTTGGCCTGATCCAACATTGGCGTCTCTTATGTTCTTATTGTCAGGAAAAGCTTTCAAGGTTTTACTAGAGGTAGTGGTGCCCTGCAATTCTTTGGGTACATATGCTTTAGCTCTCTGCGGAGCCTCTTCACAAGCTCTGAAAGAGTGGCAGGAGGGAGGGAGGGGGTCAAGACCAGCATCAGGTCATGCTCTACTGATCAAGCCCAGCAGTGAGCGTGGCGGCCACCAATTCTCAGCTGGTATGTGTGGGCTAGCAAGCACTTTCTCCTAAAATGTGGCATTATCCCCCCTCCCATCTCAGCAACCCCACGGCTCCCCTATTCTTTCCACTGCTCCATCGGTCTCCAGGGGCTATTTGATATCTTTCTCTGCTTTGGGCATGGATCACTCTTGAAACGTCTGCAGTTAGATTGAAGCTGGGTAGGGTGACGGTCCCCTCTTCTCCCTAGTATTTCTCCAGCCCAAGATTATATGTAGATCTGGCTTTGATGGGTTTTAATTAATGCTTTCCCACTAGTCTTGTGCTGCATATTCGAAAAAAGTAAAAGCATGGGGAAACAGCTACTTCAAGACAGCACTTGTGTGGCAATGAAGGGGGTTGGTGGCAGAGAATCAAAAATGTTTTGTCAGTTTCACAATGACTTTTTTTCCTGCTTGACTGCATTCCTGTGTGTTCCCTTTCATGCAAGGGACTGGACCACCAGGGTTTTAATGGAAGGCACAGGTTTACTGTGTTGAGCCGCCATCATGGTAATGGTTTCATTAAATGCATTGGGTGGCACTTTGGTTTTTGACATCCACATGCATGTTGCCCTCATTTTGTGATTTAGTATGTAGACAGGAATGTATTACTACTGCTTTTTCCAACATTTTTGAATGGACAACGACCATTGGAGTGCTAACACCATTTTCCTCCAGGGGGGTTGGAACTCCTCCCCAATTTTTCCCAGTAGCTAACCACTCAGAAGAAAATTCCCTTGTGGTCATGTTGGGGCCAATAACAGACCAGAGAATTACCTGGTGGTCTCCATCTGGCCAATCAAATTACTTTTGTGGTTCTGTTATCCAATAGGATTAACTTTGGCTGAGGGAGGTAACTTTGAAGGCATGGAGTGGATGAAGGACACAAGGAATGCTGGGTTCTTGTGGCACCATTTGCCGTGAAAATTCTTTTCTTTATTGTATCCTCACTAGAGCAGGACAATATGGCAACCAGTAGCAAGCCCGGTAGCAGTGGACATGGAGTGTCCTGGCAAGAGCGGGAGACACTGGATCTCATCTCCCTATGGGGAGAGCAAAAGGTGCAGTAGGCATTGGGGTCTTCCCATAGGAATATTAACATTTTTGAAACAATCTCTGTGGAGATGGCATTGAGGGGACTGCAGTGGAATGCTGGACAAAATCAGAGGTGCTCCACCAAGAATACAAGAAGGCATGGCACGTAATAGTCAATCAGGCAATTCACCCACGACCTGTTCATATTACAAGCCACACCACATTTTTTGTGAAGACGCCAGTATTGCACCAATGCGTGTTGCGAGCAGCCTCGATCTTCAGGTTGTGATTAAGCAAGGCCAATCTAACTTGGATGCTGGTACAAGATCAGAAGAACTGTACGGATGGTAAATCTGGCAGACATACATTGCTCTGTGCCCCTGGTTGTAGGTGAGTTGCCACTTTGCTGCAATGTGAATTCTCACTCCATTTTGCTAGGACTTTGGGTTGATTTTTCTGAGGTTTGAGCCATCTCTACATTCTTGCTTGTGCAGGTCGAGTTGGGGAAGTGCACAGATATCCGGGGGGGGGGGGGGTGGGGCCTTGTGCTTTCCTTTCACCACCCTACAGTACTGTTGAATGTCATGTCTTTTTTTTTTTTTGAAACCCCCGAGAGGGTATTTTTATTATTTTTCATAATACTATTAACTACAGTGAAAAATAAGGAAGTGGGACTACGTCTAAGGATAAAGGAAAGATACCCACACTAACTAAAAACCCAAGAGTAGATCCTTTCCATGTTAATCTAAATGTTAGTAAGATAAGTGTTAGTGATACAATATACTTGTGAAGTTCTTGTTTAACACATCTTCTATATTAATCAGTTAATCTTTGTGAGAGTACTTCTTGAGCATCTTCTTTACTTCAAAGAGCAATTTACAGAGTCCTTCTGCCCTTACTTCGGTTTTCTATCTCTAAAGTCATGCACAGTTTTCGTTGCTCCCGCTCCCGCTTCCCCCACAGAGTCCTCGTCTGTTCTCGAAGTAGCAGAGACACTTGACTTGGATTCTTCATCTTTAAGTTCTTCTTCCGGCCCAAGCTGACGTCTGAAAAATTCCTTAGCTTTAAAGATGGAGTCAATCTTCTCTCTTTTATCGTTGACTTTAAAAATTACACCTTCAGGAATCGCCCACCTGTACTGAATTCCATTCGTTTGAAGAAATGAGATCAGTTCCTTGTAGCCTTTCCTCTTTTGACGGATTTCAAATGGGATATCCTTTAAAGTCTTTATGATTGTATTCCAAATTTTCAGTGGATTTGCCGAAGTTGCCTTTAATACCGCATCTCTGGTCTGTCTTCTTGCGAATCTCACCACAATCTCTCCAGGCAGGTTATTTTTTCTGATATAATTAGAGTATGCCCGATAGGCAGCCTCCATGTCTTTTACTATTTCATCCGCTGATATACCTGTTACTGGAGCAATGATCTCTCGCAGAGTTTTCTTTAAATCTTCTTTTTCCATTTCAGGCACCCCCTGAAATCTGAGAGTCATGTTAGCTTTTTCCATTTGAAGCTGTAACACACGAGTTTCCTGAAGTTTTTGTGCTGTTTCCACATCCGTCACTCTTTTCTTCATCTTCATATTTGCGATATCCATCTCTGTAATTTTCACAGTTGCATGCTCCACTTTCTTCTCCATTTCTGCTAGCTGGCGCTGCTGGAGAGCGAAGTGTGGCCAATTGCTGGTTAGTACCACCGAGTTGCTCCATTACCGGCTTCAGCATATCCGCTAGTAACTTCATGACGTCTGCTCCCTCTTCCGGTCTTGGGCTCTGACTGCCTGGTTTCAGTTTTAACTTTCCTCGGGAAGCCGTCATATTTCACTTTCTTTACACTTCCAAACCGCTATGCCAGGACTCAAAAGACTCATCGTTTCACTGTCGGGACTCAAGTAAGTCTCTCAGAAAAAACTCGCTGTTTATTTCCCCCCTTCGCTACATTAGTCCATTCATGTGCTTAGGAGGCGTCCCTCCTTACGCACCACTTTTCCCACGGGGGGGGTACTCCGTTTTAGTAAAATAGTCCATTTATTTCGAACTCACGTTCATTGTTGATCATATCTTGACCCCGCTCTCTTCATATGCTATTCCGCTCGATCTCCTGCGCTTGTCCAGGTTAGATTGGCTTGTACCCTAAGGTCACCCAGCCGGCTGGACCATCGGGGCAAAGGGAAGCCTCTATTCTCTGGCATCAAGCCATCAAAGAGGCTAACCCTCAAAAGCCCCCTGGCCTGGAACCCTTCACAAGGGCTCCGTGGGGGTGCCACTTGAGATGGCACCCCTCCAAGCCATGGGTGTGCTAGTCGCCTCCTCGGACATCGAGGAGAGCAACCGCCATCGCCGATCCACCCACCGGAAGTCCCCGAAATGTCATGTCAAGTGG